AATTTATAAAGATTTCTAGAGTTAAAAAAATGGTACATGGAGCTGAAGTTACACACTGCAGAGCTCAGGGAGGAGAGGTCTGAGAACTGATTGGAGGAAAGAGACACCCCCCCCCCCTCCACACAGCTCACAGGAACAGAGCTGAGGCTGTCAATCTGCTGGAGGTCCCTCCCCTGTCACCATTCTCTTGTTGTCAGAAAAACTTGTGAGAAGTGACTCATGCAGATAACAGGGGAATGAGGCAGCAGACAGAAATTACTTTTAGGCCAGCCATAGATGGCTGGGATCTCAGCGTTTAGCAGGATTCGAATCATGTATGGGCAGGCTGAATATATCCAAGTTGATTGATTGTAGTTGTACAGCCAGCCTGCCAGATTTTGCATACGATTATTACTAGAGGCTGTTATAGCTGCTAGCAATGATCACTGTGCCCCCCCTGTTCCCTAGTCAAGAGAACACAATGGCTCAGCGGAAGGGATTACTGTGTCAACAATGACTGTTGATGGGGGCAAATTTCTTCCCTGAAATCTGAAGAAAAGAAATTTGCTCCATCTATGGCCGGCCTTATTGCTGTTAACTGAGACAAGTACACACTATAGAGGGATATGCTTTGTTCATAGTTTATGTGTGGGTTTACAACCAGTTTAATGCTCAAACGCCAGATGTGTGTGCAATACGTGACTTTAGGCACATTTTTTAATCAGCTTTTTCCTGCCAGGAGTTCTGGCAATCAGAGGAGCTAAAACAGGCACCCTGTGTGCACGAGGCCTTACTTGTGAATTGTGTTCTTCTGTCACAGAATATGTGAAAGGGCCCTATGTGCTTTGCCCGTGTTCATACTAAAGAAAGATGTATAGTAGGATAATGGCAATGGTCTCTTGTAACGGCAAATGGTTTTTTTTTTTTCCATTACACCACATTGGATGTTTGACATAAACACAGGCTTACTTCATTTCTGTTCACCTACCTTTACACTTTAGTAAATTAGGCCAAATGAATCAAGCAGCAATCTATTCCCTTGTCTCCTAAAACTCTGCTATTCTACACTCCATCCTATGTCATCTTCCTACAGATCCAGGCTGATACATCTGGAATCCCCAGCCACTGCCATTTTGCATACTGTCTCTATGTGTATTTATTATGGTGTTCTGTATTCAAAGTCAGGTTTAAACTTCATAGAATATGGAGACCTGTGTTATGAGTCAACCTCATTATTTTATGTCAGCTAGACATTCCTTGAAAAAATAATCATTTCCAGCCATATCACTTCGGCATTAAACACAGTATTGCAATACGTGGAGGTTTCTGTCTGTTTCCCCGTATTTTCATATGTCACAACATAATTCCTTTTCAGACAGTCTGCCCTGCTGTTAGTTATCTCCGTGTTGCATCTGTTTTTTCCTCTTTATTAAATCTTACTGTGTAATACGTGATTTGTATGTTGATAAAAGACATGACGGTGCAGTTATTACAACGGTGATGTGAGGTTGGTGCTAAGCAGGGATGTATACTTTGGCACACACAGTTCATTCACAAATCGCAGTCTACTATCTGTTTAAACAGAAAGGCAGCCAAAGGCATAAAGATGTTTTGTACAGTAATGTTTGGCACGTTCTCCTATGTGTTTTATAATCATCCCTTAATGTTTTCTCTTAGATGTAATTGGCAGTAGTGTGCATAGAGGCTCCCTTAATACAATCACGTATCAGAGTATCTGAATGAAGCAATCTTACTGTTTTTTCCCAGTGCACACTTTTATGTATAATGCCCTTAGATTTTTAATGGCTAACAAGGGCATTCTCTTTCAGAACCCTTAAGGAAGGCCATACATGATTCATCTGATCTTGTTCAACCAGCAGGTTTAAGGAAAAAATTAGCCATTTCCCCCGATCCACATATTTGATATGGATAGGGGAATCCTCCCACTGTGGTATTGTAGGAAGGAAGAATTGTAGGAAGCCTCCACGCTGGCAGAATGCAGTGATTGTTGCTGCTGGCTATGGCTGGATACACACAGGATGAAAATTGGATAAAAATGGTACGTTTGGGACTGTCGGCCTATGTACAGCTCCCTGTCCAACAAAAGCCGGGCTCACAACCCACTTCTGTTGACCTAGCATCCTATCAGCACTCACAGCCAATGACCGCGAGCGCTGATCAGTGTGTTCTGGTGAAGGGTAGTACCCCTGTCAAAATACCATAGCTCAGTAGGAGAAATTACCATACTAATGTCGCTTGTGTTAGTACCGCGATCTGTAATTTTTTTCGTTCAGCCCACTGGGTTATAGTGTGTACCCCGCAATAGTTGGTGGCACTAATCATTCGGGAAAAAAAAAACACCTGTTGGCTGTACACCAGTCAATCGCTAGATCGGCTTTTGTATAACCAGCTTGCCCATACCTCGTCCCTGCTGAACTGGCCAAATTTCGATCTATGTATGACTGACTTAAAATTTGTGATATAACGAACAATGTTAAAGAAGTGTTTATCAGACATTATGTGCAGATGAGGATTGTGGTAAGCATGACAGTGTTCTGTGTGGGCAAGAGAGGAGTACACAGGGTATGAGAGCAAGCAGTATATGCGGAGGGCATGACAGTGGGCAGTCAATAGAGGACTGTGGAGGGTATTGGTGGGTAGTATGTGCAAAAAGAAGTGTGGGGGGTATGACAGTGGGTAGTATATGCGGAGAGGAGTGCAGAGGATATGACAGTAAGTAGTTTGTGCGGAGAGGAGTGTGGAGGGTGTGACAGTAGAGGTAGTATGTGTGGAGAGTAGTGCAGAAGGTAAGACAATGGATTGTATGTATGGAGAGCAGTGCAGAAGGTATGACAGTGGGTTGTATGTATGGAGAGCAGTGCAGAAGGTATGACAGTGGGTTGTATGTATGGAGAGCAGTGCGGAAGGTATGACAGTGGTAGTATGTATGGAGAGGAGTGCAGAAGGTATGACAGTGGGTTGTATGTATGGAGAGCAGTGCAGAAGGTATGACAGTGGGTTGTATGTATGGAGAGCAGTGCGGAAGGTATGACAGTGGTAGTATGTATGGAGAGGAGTGCAGAAGGTATGACAGTGGGTTGTATGTATGGAGAGCAGTGCAGAAGGTAAGACAATGGATTGTATGTATGGAGAGCAGTGCGGAAGGTATGACAGTGGGTTGTATGTATGGAGAGCAGTGCAGAAGGTATGACAGTGGGTTGTATGTATGGAGAATAGTGCAGAAGGTATGACAGTGGGTTGTATGTATGGAGAGTAGTGCAGAAGGTATGACAGTGGGTTGTATGTATGGAGAGCAGTGCGGAAGGTATGACAGTGGGTAGTATGTGTGGAGAGGAGTGCGGAAGGTATGACAGTGGGTAGTATGTGTGGAGAGCAGTGCGGAAGGTATGACAGTGGGTAGTATGTGTGGAGAGCAGTGCGGAAGGTATGACAGTGGGTTGTATGTATGGAGAGCAGTGCGGAAGGTATGACAGTGGGTAGTATGTGTGGAGAGGAGTGCGGAAGGTATGACAGTGGGTAGTATGTGTGGAGAGGAGTGCGGAAGGTATGACAGTGGGTAGTAAGTGTGGAGAGCAGTGCGGAAGGTATGACAGTGGGTAGTATGTGTGGAGAGGAGTGCGGAGGGTATGACAGTAGGTGTAAAAACCTAACTAAGATAGTGGGTAGTATGTATGGAGAGCATTTCACATGAATGTAAAAACCTAACTTTTATTATCAATAAATATTAACATGTTAAAACATTTTTTTATATATATAACTATTTTTTACTTATAGAGTTGGCTGTGCTGTCTTTTTAATTATACTATAACACTTTCCTTGTTGATATTTTCATTTCAAAATTTATCTCTTTAATTTTTTTACCTCCACCGCCAAAAGTGCTCAAAAAAAAAAAAAAAAAGGTACTCAACACTACCTCTTTAATATTTATTGACAAAGATATATTTTACATTTAGTGGGTGAGATGAACAAGAATATGATGCACAGCATATTCTCTACAGATTGATAATATATATTCCCACACTGTGATCTCTTAATTGAAACACTAAAGACAGTTTATATAAATATTAGTTAGCGGGCAGTATGTGCAGGAAGAGTGACAGAGGGTAGGACGTAGGGGAACGTGCTGAATAAAGCATTCTACTTGTTAATTCCCAGCACACTATGGGAGATCGATAGGGACAACCTGATTTGCTGACACAGGCAACAGGCTAACTTCTTCACACACTTTTATGCATGAGGCCCTAGGTTTATAACGATAAGACATTCATAGACTGGCTGCATTCACTAGGGGAGATTTGTTTTGTTCATAGCTGATGATATACAAGTGTGTTAGAATATTTATCTGGAGCAAATAAGCAATAAATATTAAAGCTGTAGTTTGGGAATTTTTATTTATTTTATGTTTATTGGAGGACATAGCTCTGCTTTGCTTTTTCTGGAATATGTTTGCAATGCTTTCTTCACCACTCTCCTCTTGATGGCTTTTGTACTAAGGGCAGAGAAATCTGATACTGCCCCCTTCCCCATTGCCAAAATGACACACAGGAAAATCCTGCACTCATTGCATTTTATTTGGGAGCTTCATGTCATCTGTGGGTAAAAGAAAATTGCCTTGTCATTTGGGATCATGCAATGTACTGACAAGAGTTCTCTGAAAGGCACAGGTGGTGTAGCCTTCCCAGGGTGCATTATCAGTGCCTCCAGAAAGCAGGAAGTGCAATTCAATTACATTCCAGTAACAGAATAAATATTTTTTATTTTTCAAAACAACTTGCAGATTTTTTGGTGTTGCATGCATCAGGAAGTTTTAGTGTAGGGGGTAGAAAAAAAAAGTTTAAGCACACAAGAACAGCAAATGCAGAGAGGTGGGTGCCATGTCCTTCTGTTAATGTGAAGAAAAGGATTTTATGATTAAAAAAAATCATCTTTATCCTTGAGCACTCATTCACTCCATGAGGTGCGTTGGTGCTTTTTTGCACGTTGCGTTTTAGGGCAGCCAGTTCATTTCAATATGTGCATGCAGGGGCAGACTGACCATTTGGAAACTCGGGCACTGCCCGAGGGCCAGGGGTCAGTAGGGGGCCCCATGAGATGCCCCTGGTATCTTTTTCATAGGCTTTTTTGAGTTTGGGCAAGGACACAGGGGCCCCATGATCCCCTATTGCCCGGGGGCCCCATGAGTTGTCGGTCCGCCCCTGTGTGCATGGAGCACACAAAAATGTGCAGGAACAATTTTTAAAGTCGCACCGCACTAAACTGCATGGTGCGCTGCAGTATTTTGCAGTATTTTGGCGATCATGAATGTGCGCATTTGCAAGATGCATGGGGGTACACTAAGAATCACGTATTTTTGAGAGTCCTGTCTCAACTTTGTTTTTACAGGCAAGTCACTTCTCTTTCTACTGTTATTGAATCAGACCTGATATATCCTGACGTTTCCTGATAATCTTTAATTACTGAAGATGAAATATTTTGCTGTATGTATACATCTCCGAGATATTGTAAAACTCAAGTAGACAAATTATAATTCTTTAATCAGATTGGATTAATAACTGGGCCATGGGGAAGAAGTCAGACCATACAATGTAGCACTGCACACAGATGAGCCTTGAAAGGGATGGAACATTCCTTTTCTAATATTACATGGCATAGTAATGTCATTGTAATCCCCACTTCCTCAGCTACCTTTAAATAAACTATAGTGTACAAATAGCAGAGACATGCCGACAAACAGGAAAACACAACAGTTGTTTCATCATAATGGTAGTCTGTTTTTTAGGTAGAAATAGCTTACTCTAAAAGGATTAAAATAGAACATACACGTGTACTGCCTGCTGCATTAATGCCTGCCGGACTGAAGTACGTGAAAAATGTGCTCCCTAAATAAATGAATGAGCATACAATGACCAACTTTGAAGCTTACTTACTATGAACATATGTACAAAAGTTATTAGAAGACCTTCTTCCCACCCACTCACTAATATTGTGTTCATTTCTTGTAGAAATCAGATGATAGCATTTCTGAATGCAGCACTGTGGATCTGAGGAAGTCTCGGGAATTTATTGAACAGCAGCCTGACTCTTCTGAAGAGTACATGGATCCAGAGGAATGCTTTACAGAAGGTATAGTGACTACACGTATTTTTCCAGTAAAAGATATATGCCATTTTCCTTCTGTAAACTGGAAAATCTAAGTACAAACTGCACAAAAAATGCATAGAAACTGAAACTCTAACAAAGCGGTATTAAACCCAAAAACAAAAATTGAATATATTGCAGCTTATCAATGCTTAGATGTGGTGGCTGCATTCTGTTTTTTAATATGTTAGGCTTTTTCCTTTATTTTCACCTGGTGGTGATGGAGGAGCAATGGAGACAACTGTGGACAGCTGAGGAGAAGGTCGTTTTAGATTAGCAGATTTAGATAACAAATAGCTGAACTCCAGCTAACACTTTTAAAGCAGTTCCGCAATACTTTTTTTTTTTCTTTAGATGAAAGGTTTTACATAAATGAATAAAAGCTGATCATTTCTAAGCCCCCATCAGTGGTAAATGGTTTGTCTCAACTCCCTAACTGACACTTTTCCTGGACAGATTGGTCTATTAAAGAAAGTTGAAAAACAACACTTACTGGCCAAATGGACAGGTGAAAATAAAAGAAAAAAGTCCTAAAAAAAAGAAAATGTATGTAGCCACCAAATCTAAGAATTTGTAAGCTGCAATATAATACATTTTTTATTTTATATTTAATAGCACTTTAAAGTATATAAGGCCAACTTGAAAAAAAAAAAATATATATATTTATTACATCTCAATACATGCACATTTCCTTATGTTTTATCAATTAAAGCAGTCAGCAGAAAATGCACAAAGAAAACTGTATGCTGCGCACTAATAAGCAGAAGGTGCCCATGACTGTAATAAAAAGTGAGGGATAAAGGAATAAATCTTGCTTCCAAAAAAAGTCTATTTAAAAGCCATATGATAGCAGTTTAATAGCATAGTCACTGCAAAATCACAGTCTTGTGTAAACAAAAGATCACATCCAACCTCTGTACACAGCTAAGTATCACAGCACTGGTGGCGAAGGTGGAATCTGTGAGCACATACCAACTGGAAGGGGAACACTGAATGGCGGCTGCTGGACCCACAGTAGCGCTCCGTGGCGGTCTCGCATATAACAAGCCAGGGAGACACCAAGAAGATGGCTGCTCTGTGTAGTGTTTAGGGTCTGGAAGTGATGTAATCGGCAGCACCGTGAACCGGAGGTGGTGAGGCCATCAGCTGGGCGACTGTGTCAGAGGGGGATTGATCATGGAAACGCACTCTCTCACCAATAGGATGACGCGTTTTAAAGCACCAGACTTTCTTATCAAATCTAAGAGTGGGACCAGAGACTACATTATACTATATAGAATCATACATATTTACATCATATGAAGATTAGCCTATATGGTTTAGCACTTTTTAGTACTGTTGTGATCACATTAGCAAAAAATGCACTGAGTTCCAAATTTCCGTTTATGTGCTGACAACATGGTGCCTTTTCTACACAGGTGGGAAGGAATGGTGTTAGTCCTGCCCAGTTGTCTTTGCTGAAATACAGAACATCTCCTTCTCGCCACTCCATAGGAGATGTTCTGTAGTTCAAGGGCAGAACTGGGAGGGCTGATTAGACTAGTTGAGATAAGACTTTTTTCTCCCCGTATTTTTCAAACAGATATAACAAGACACTTTCAATGGTATAATTACTGGACCAAAAGGGACCAAATAGGAGAAGTTCTCTGTTAAGGTTTACATACACTTGACTTTTAGTAAAGGCCCTCCATACTGTTCCCCACTATGCAGAGTTAATAAAAAAGTACTCCCTAGATCAGACATTCTATTCAGTAGATGCTGATGGGCAGAACTGTGCCTCTGGTAGTCAAATACCTGGACTTCTTTGACCTACTTGTAGATTGTCCAAAGGCACTACTTTTATTGTAATTTAATTCACAATGTCCGTTCCACTTTAGAGGACCGCAGTTGTGGAAACTACTGTATTCAAATAACTGTTTGTGGTAATACATGTGAAGATTGTACCAAGTATATGAAATCATTTTTTTTATTTGTGCAAGCTTTTATTTATATTTTTCCCAACATGTCAACCACGTTGACAGTGACAAGACTTGGGGAAAACTATTCCACTGAGCTCTAGTGCATTTCTGTAAAGAGATATATTGGCAGAAAGAACAATGTGGGGAAAAGCCAACTTCTTCATATGTGTGTCTGCATCTCATGCCATGAATTGATAATTATGCGATTCAAACAGCATAAAATCTTGTTTTCGGGTACAGACAGAAATGTACAAGATTTCATTTATTCTTTCTTTTTTATGTTATAGATATTGGTTGTTTCCATTTCCATAAATCAATAACTTTGGAATGTAGGCCTATGTCTACCAGAGACCTAAACTTTACAGCTTGCACACATGATATTATCTTTTTATTTATGAGACCTACTAGGATATCACCCCAATTTGGTGTCAGTTTTCAAAATAGCTTTTATAGTTAAAATACAACAGTTCAGTTAAGGTGCGCAAAGTCCAGTTTTAAATAGCAACTCCAGCACGAAGGACCCTTTCTTTCTGTGTGGAAGCAGTGATCTCTCTGCAGACATCTGACATGCTCCCTGTTGAGTCAGGACTTGAGTTCTGACTACACTATGAGATTGATTCACTAAAACTAGAGAGTGCAAAATCTGGTGCAGCTGTGCATGGTAGCCAATCAGCTTCTATCTTTAGCTTGTTCAGTTAAACTTTGACAAAAAAAAAACCAGTTTTAGTAAATCAACCCCAATAAGTCTAACTGAGCAGGGGGATGTCGGACCTTTTCAGAGAGACCACTGCTTCCACAGCTGAATTATAAAGCTGGCCATACACTGATTCATTCATTCAAAAAAACAGATTCCTCCATCCATGCTATACAGCTAGGATGCTAATCTCCTGCTGCGGCTATTATATATATTGCATGGTTGACTTTTGTTGGACAGGATCGTCTGCTGAGTGAATTTCAGATAGTATCTGCTGAACTGGATGCACCGGACTGAGGCGATTTCCTTAAACTGGAGCACACAGAAGCTTATGCAACTGTGCATAGTAACCAATCAGTTTCTATCAGGGGCGGACTGACCATTTGAGAACTCGGGCACTGCCCGAGGGCCCGGGGTCAGTAGGGGCCCCATGAGATGCCCTTGGTACCTTTCATAGGCTTTTTTGGGTGTGGTTTGAGTGTGGGCAAGGACACAGGGGCCCCATGATCCCCTATTGCCCGGGGGCCCCATGAGTTGCCAGTCCACCCCTGGTTCTATTATCAAAGCTTAATTGAGCAAACTGAAGCTGATTAGTTGCTATGCACAGCTGCACCATATTCTGTGTCCTCCAGTTTTAGTAAGTCCACCCAATGTAAAGCCAGCCTAAGGCCCCTTTTACACTAAAGGTCTGATCAGGTCTGCCTGTCAGTTTTCAGGTGGACCCGATCCATAGACCTCTATGGACCGCTAACATCCACCAGCATCCTGTACGCCAAAAACAGATGGATGGGGATCTGTTCCCTATCCATCAGGGGGATCGGATGACAGTCGTGTGGAAATGGACAGGCAGTCTATTTCCATCTGACTGCCCCATAGGAAAAAGCAGGCTGTGTCTGTGTCCACTCTGCGGCGGAGCGGACACAGACCTGTCATCCACTTGCTCAGTGGGGATCAGCGGAGAGATCCCCCGCTGAGCAAACGGATCCGCTGACCGGTCCGCCCCATTTGAATGGGGCCTAAGACTTTGCATAACTTTTGTTTTGAATTACCTAAAATGTATTTAATTGATTCAAACTTAAGGTTCAGTTGGTTTTCAAAGGAGAGATGTCATGAAAGGCATTGTAGGCTGTAATTGCTAATCTTCTAAAAATGCAAGTTGTCTGTATGTCACTGGCTTCAATACTTTCTGAATCAGTGAACTAGAAACAATCTTGCAGCCAGTGAAATCAGAGTAAAGTCTTAGCTTCTGATCTGCATAATGTCAGTGACACAGGGTCACAAAGTAAAAAGTAATGAAGCCAAGGCAGTAAGACAGCCAGGCAGCTAGCATTTTTAGAAGGACAGGTTGGCTTTGCCAGCCGCTTTATGTCTCTCAGCACAGGTTTCTTTTATGATAGAAATCAGGTCAGAATCAAATTGCAAGTAAGTGAGAAAATCCAAAGTTACAGGAATAATTATGTGACAAGAAAAGGAAGTCCAATCTTACTTACGGATAGCAAAATGACAAGCAAAACATGTAAAGCAAAGGTATAGTACCAGTATTGTACTGTCTGCACTGCCATCTACTGATCAAATACTAGAACATGTTAAATGCTGATTTGTTTTTTGTACAAAGTAGTACATTTAAGGTTATTTTGTCCCGTGTATATGTCAGTAGCCTAGGCAACTGCTCTCAGTCATTTCAGAATCATTTCTTTGCATTGCAGCCTCAGTTTATGTAGTCTGCCTGTATACTGTACACCCCAAGATTGTCATATCCCAAAAAAACCTCCTTTGTTCAAAGTACAGGACAATCTGAATCAAACAACGCATGGTCACACACTGTTATTAAAAATAATAATAATAATAATAATAAGTATATAAGAATCGTTTGTGCTGCCCTTGCTGCCAATCCAGTCTCTTTTCCTGAATGAATCTGCACATTTATACCTGGTTGGATGTTGAGGACAACACATACTGTACAAGTTTATTAGCATGCAGGGGTTGATTTACTAAATCTGGAGAGTGCAAAATCTGGAGCAGCTGTGCATGGTAGCCAATCAGCTTCTAACTTCAGCTTGTTCAAGTAAGCGTTGACAAAAAAAATCTGGAAGCTGATTGGTTTTTATGCAGAACTGTACCAGATTTTGCACTCTCCAGTTTAAGTAATTCAATCTCACAGTGTAGTATATGTTTGAAGGTGTTGGACAGGTGAACAGACAAAAATGTAATATGTGCTATTGCATTTATTTGTCTCTACGCATCTGAAATAATAGACAGCTGATGCAACACCACAATGACCCTTCTCTGGGGTCTCCAAGACCCTTCACTGTTACTGTTGAGCCAAGTACCTATTGTTGTCCCATAATGACATATACTCAGAGGTGATTTTACTAGGTGAACCTATGTGTTAACACAAGAGCCAAATAGCTCAATATATAAAGCATGCCAATGTGATCATGGGGTTCATTGGTTTCTCACCCGCACAATAGAATAGAGGGATATAGATTGTCCAATGGTTGTTATAGTCATACCTGGTGGTTGCAACATCTTAAAAACTACTACCTTGTGATTTCTTACATTACAGCCTGTAGATTTTAGACAAACTGGTACAAAAACAATTAGCGAGCAACAGTTTTGTGGTGAAAACACTTAGTAATGAGAGGGGATCGAGGAAAAGAGCTAGAAAGGTTCCAGCTGACAGGGGGTCTTCAACTGCTCATAAAACCACTGTTAACTACAACAACTGTGCCAGCAACTGTGCCCTGGCCACTAAATCTCAGGCTGCAGTGGGTATGGGATCACCAAAGTGAGTTGATCGATAAGTTTAATTATTTAATTTAAATTTATCTTGATACATGGGTTATGCCCTTAAGTTTAATTTTGAGTCAGTCTAATATCTGTCTGGCACTGATGGTAAGGACAGGCCTCTTAGGGTATATCAGGTTATTGCTTAGCTGTGCTCAAATTATAACTATAACTGTTATTTGCTATATCTGAAAATTGCAATAAAGCTGTGGCCTTGCCCTTTTACAACTTACTCAGCCTCTGTGTCATTTTTGGGCAAGACATGGTTTTTATTTGGTTGTCGCCCAGCCTACGCTTCTCAGCAGTCAAGTGGAGTCAGAGTGGGGCATACAACGGATAATTGCTTGGGCCCAGTCTTGTGTTACTGTTTCAAGCTGGTGATGGTGGTTTCATGTAGAGAGTGTTTTCTCTCAATGAAAAAAACTAACTGTAGGTCCATTCTCCCGCCTTGCCACTACCATAAAATGTAGACTTCCCTGATACTTACTTACCTGTCAAATTTTGACTTTAGGTCTGCTTTAAAGAATACGTAAACCCAACATTTCATATTCCTTATATGTGGCTGATGTATCCAGATCTCTTTGTATTGTTCTCTTTGTGTGAAATCCCTGGTGTTCCTGCCAGTCCCTCAGCTTTCCTGTTGAAAACTGACTACACTAGGCATGAGAGTACAGTGTCGCCAGTTTTCTGGCTGTGCTGGGAACTCAGTCTGCTCTCCTCCAATGATAAGACGTCTGCTGACACCCCCCCCCATACACACACACACACATAGCCATTCACTGGGAAGATCAGTGTGGTGCTGTTTCTCCTCCCTGAGCTCCTTATGCATTTATAAAAATCGGGGAGAAGGGTATTTATAATGTTTTTCAGATGTATACATAAATGTTTTACCTTTCATTTCTATTTTAAAACTGAATGGGTTGTTTTACAAGGTGAGGGTTTACATACTCTTTAATACCAACTGAGCAATATTTGTCTGCTGCAGCAGACCTGAGTACTCCTGCTTACTGCATGCATCCCACTCTGAACCACGTAGACCTCCTCTCATGCTGGTTTTGTGAACATAACAATGACTTTAAAGTGCTTCTAAATGCTCAAGGTTTTTTACCTTCATGCATTGTATGCATGAAGGTAAAAAACCTTCTCTGTGCAGTAGCCCCCCTCGAATACTCATCTAAGCCCCCTCTCGATCGGCTATCCCGGACTCCCTCTCCTCATTGTCTGAGGCAGAAGCGGGGAGCCATTGGCTCCCAGTGCTGTCAGTCACAGCCAGTGAGCCAATGAGAAGAGAGAGGGGTCGGGAGCCGAGCCGCAGCTTCGTGTGTGAATAGTTACATGGAGCAGCGGGTGCCCCCATAGCAAGCTGCTTGCTGTAGGGGTACCCGACAGAAGGGAGGGGCCAGGAGCGCTAGCAGGAGACCCGAGAAGAGGAGGATCAGGGCTGCTCTGTGCAAAACCACTGCACACGGCACAAAAGTATAGACATGTTTGTTATTTTTTTTTAAATAAGCCTTTAGAATCACTTTAATTTACTGCAAATACCTACAAAATAGGATAATGCACCTTTGCAGTGAGGTGTAAAGAGAAGCTCACAGCTATCTAAATCTATGATTGACAATTCAGAAGGAACTGCATGATGCTGTGGAGTCTAAAAATCCCTAACAAACATTTCCTGCATCTTTTTGAACTTATGCTACCTGTTCTGAAGGGGAAAAAGGGTCTTTCCTGATCCTAGATAAGTACAAATACATTCTAAAGTGGCCACTTGTATGTATGAAATAAAGTGGTTTTTTCATTCTCCTTGTCAGCAAACCTTTTATTGCCATACGGAAAGATGAGGCTGGTTTTTAAAGTATTACTGGGTAAACCCAGAACAGTAAAATCAGTCTGTATATTCAGTAAAGCATGCTTGTTATACTCACTGTGGAACCTTAGGGGTTGTGTAAAAAGGCTGTTTGATGCTGTCTTCACTGAGCCTCCCCTTCATATGCTGTCCCCAATCCATCTACTGATAGTACATAGCTCTAGGAGTCTCTCTGCACATGCTCAGTTTAGTGTATATTGCTAGAGAGTTTTTTCCCTTTGGATGAGAGCATGTGATCAGCACAGGGCCAATCAGTGCTGTTTAGACAAAGGTCAGGGGTCATGGAGCTTCATAGGACAGTCAGAGCAGAATAAAAACTCCTCCTACAAGATTAACCAGTGCTCAGTTGGACACTGATAGAAGTCACAAGACAGCTCTAACTGCTGATGAGAAAAGGTATTTAGCAGTTTATATTTACTAACATAATTGCACTTCCATATTCTGTGTACTGTGAGAGACCAGATACAGTAAATGCAAGGTCTTGGGTTTAGTGACATTTTAACTAGTATACTGTGCACAAAAATACTACCAATCATCAGTAACAGTCCATGATGAGTAGATAAAAACAGACATCATGGGAAATATTTACTAAAACAGGAACCTAGTGCAGAATCTAGTGCAGCTGTGCATTGTAGTTGGCCAATGAGCTTCTAACTTCAGCTTGTTCATTTAAGCTTTGACAATAATACCTGGAATCCGGCTTCTAGGCAGAGCTGCGCCAGATTTTGGATGATCCAGTTTTAGTAAATCTCCCCCATAAGTTTGACACTGACAGTCCAAAACAATCATGAAACCTAGGCATATTGGCTGTAGTTTATCTGCTTCAAATATGGGATGTTTGAGGGGAATATTCTTAAGTGCTTAGATCAACCCACATACAGTATACTCACAGATACACTAGATCTTCTGGAAAATGACAATGTTGCCAAATTGTCAACTGGTAACTAGTGGGTATCCACATTCCACCGGGCATATAGTGAACTTAGAAGGGCTCCATTGTATCCCTTACCTGTTCATTTATGGCCTGTACACACGATAAGAAAATCGGAAGAAAAGTCCCATCAAACAACCGATCAGTAGATTATCTGATCATTAATATAGTGCTTTCAACAAGAGAGTCCGACCTTTTGGACAACAAAAACCGAGGGTGTAAGCTAGAAAATTTGTATCATACACGAGCACAACTTCCAATTTTTGTGTAATGTGTACAGCAATCGTATGGAAATACTCAAATAAAAAAAATGTGCATGATCAAAAGTATACAACAACCCTATACTTCCTCTTCTACTACGCTAGTAAGTAGCTATGTTTTCCTAGGTTTGCCTTTGTCGGCCGAGAATTTTCTTACAAGTCAATACCATTCTGGCTACATCATGACATGCACTTCCGTGGAAAATTGAACGATCAGTCATTCAATTTTCTCATAGTGTGTACTAGGCTTTAGGATGTACTAACATTGGATATGGTTGAACTGAGCCACACTTAATTTTAATTGTCCCCACTCTCCTACTGACTTGCACTTACACTATACTTTAAAGGAAGCGTTCCCAGGTACACTGATGCCATCACCTCTTCCAATCAGACTACAGTGATCCCTGCTTCCATGCTTATTGATATGTGCTCAGGCATGGTTTACACTCACACTTAAATGAACCATGCCAGGGACCATGTCTTCCAAGTGGTTCTGGGCACAGTATGCTTAACTATTCCTGGGCACAGTTCTGAGTGTTCACACTACACAAACCAACTAGACCACGGGGGTGAACTGTGCTCTAGTATGGTTAAAACTGACAGTGTGAGTGCACCCATAGGGTACACATATGTAATAGGGTACTTTCCCCAGGGGTGTGTTTTACCACAAGGCAAACAAGGCATTTGCCTAGGGCAGCATTTTTCAGGGGGGCAGCACTGCCACCCAGAAGAAGGGATGGAATAAGGGACACATGCGGCATGGGGAGCAGGTGGGATCCAAAAGTTGCTGCGGGCTGCTTAAACGGTATATGCAGAGCCTGATTCTCGTTCCCAGGGATGTCCGGAGCTGCGAAGGTGAGTGTCTTTCTCTCTAGCACCGGAGTGGGGGTGGGGGGTGGTTTTGCCGGTGTATGGGGGGAGGTGGTAGTGGAAGCCTCTTTGGGGGGGGGGGGGGCAGGGGTGTTATTGGTCAATGTCAGGCTCTCTCTGTGGGTGGGAGGGGGGGGGGATTTTTGTGTTGCTTAGGGCAGCCCAAAACCTAAATACGCCACTGACTTTCCCAATAGGTTTTTTCACATGACATGACTTGCTGAATCCTTCACATTTATCCCATGAGCCCTTTGCTAGTAAATAAAAGTATCTTTTGTGGATCTTGCTGGCATGATATCAGCAAGTGAACGGCAGAAAGCTCATGCTTTAACCTGTAAATAGACCCTTCTTAAGTTCACAGGCTGTGAATCAGCAATCATCAGCAAGCAATAATCGAACAAAAACTAGGTATTAGTGGTTATAAGTGTGGATGTTAGTAAAGGGATAAGAAACTGTAGATATCTGATTAGAAGGGGCAGTTTTATGTGAAAAGTCAAGGGATAAGAAAGAAATATTCCTGGAGAATAAAGTGTTTATCTATGGCAGTTTTAACAAAGGGCTAATCATTCTTTTTGTTGAATTACATGCAAAATCTGCCTGAATCTGGTCAGTGTTAACGGGTAGTGTTAGTTTATACTGTTTAAATGAAACAAATGACAAAACTACCATATTATAATATATAGGTAAACTAAGTTCAAGAGAAATAAGATGAATTATTCTAGAGATCTAGGTGCTATTGCTGTCAAAATTGAAAAAGTTCTCCAGCACAGAGACGAAGCTGTCAAAGACAGCTCCCAGTCCCTAGTATTGATTGAGGTGCAGCATGACCAGCACCCGATCATGTGACCACTGTGATAGACAATCACAGTGGTCATGGCATCAGGCAGACCTTCCCTTTACCCTGTCCCTGATATCCCAGTTAAAGGGATGCTGGGGCTGGATGGGAAGGGGTTAATGCTATTTTTCTGTCTTTTTAAAAAACCTGAAGTTTCCATTAATATAATTCCTGGTGGTCCTTGTTCATGATTTGCAGCTGATGTCAGTGTGAGTGCATGTAGGCATTCAGTGGCTGAAAGCGGCTAGAAGAGATCAGCAACACTGAAATGCAAAAAGACTAAAAAAGGCAGCAGTATTTTATAGGTAAAAATTTAACATTTTTACGGTACAATGCTTTATGAAACTCTTATGTATGGAGGGTTAGATCACTGAATTAAGTGAAATTAACTAGAACAAGCATGCAGCTAATGCTGGGTATACACACAGAGTTTTCTTATGTTCAATCAGAAGTTTTTGAACAAAAAAAAACTCACATGTTACTGCATCCACATAATCAATGTGAATGCCAGGATATCCTCTGCTGCACTATTGTATTCTGACAGCAGGGTCCCCCCCCCCCGATCACAATACACTGATCAGTGCTTCAGCCACTCGCTACTGCAGCTGATCGAATACTGGTTTTCCAGCCGGACCGTTTGTCAGTCTAATAACCGGCTTCTATTGAAGAGACATGGCTACACATGAACTGAACAGTTTCTGGTGAACCGGTCAAAACTTGATACGTATATACCCAGGTTAAGGAAGCCAGGGGTCAGAACTGCATGCTTGGTCCAGGGATGTGACTCGTGATCAGAGGAAAACAGTGCCTTAGGTCTCACACTTCAGTTATGCAACTATGAGACTTTAGGCATGGAAGTGTCTAGGTACACACATACACACCAACCAAGAAGTGCACTGCTTGATTTCAGGAGGAATTTAAGACAAAAGTGTTTTTAGGACACTGCTTAAAGTGTTACTAAACCCAGGCCCCTGCATTCACTATGTCTGGTCTCCCACAGTGCACAGAACATGGAAATGCAATTATTTTAGTAACTATAAACACTAAATACCTTAATTATTTTAGTAATTACTATAAATGCTAAATACCTTTTTTCATCAGCAGTTAGAGCAGTCTTGTGATGTCTATCAGTGTCCAGCCTAATCACTGGTTAAAGCTTGTAGAAGGAGTTTTCATTATCCTCTCACTGGCCTATGAGATTGCATAACCCCTGACCCTCTATCTGGACAGTGCTGATTGACCCTGTGCTGATCACATGCACTCTCCCAAGAAAAAAAAAAACCTCTCTAGCAATACATACCAAACTGAGCATGTGCAGAGTGTCTACACACGATATGTCTTATCAGGAGATAACAGGGGGACACTGGAAGAAGGGGAGGATCAGAGAAGGAAGGATCAAACAGCCTTTTTACACAATGCAGAGGATTAGCCCCTTAGGTTCCACAGTGAGTATAACAAGCATGCTTTACTGCATATACAGACTGATATTACTGTTGTGGGTTTAGTAACACTTTAAGCACAATTACCTTTTTCCAAATATTCCATATAACATAGCAGGTCTTCACTTTTTGAGTTTATATCCACTTTAAATATGCTCTTTGCAACATATTAACCTAATGTCAAATTTGCACAATGAGCAAATGTCAATATCAAGTGGCTGTTTATTATTGTATTAAGGTTCAGACTATGGGATGCGGTGCTCTGAGATGGACAATCTTCTTTTGAAGTAATAATTAACCGTTTCCATACCGGGCAATTTTACACCTTCCTGCCCAGGCCATTTTTCAGGTTTCAGCGCTCTCACACTTTGAATGACAATTGCGCGGTCATACAACACTGTACCCAAACTAAAATTTTATCATTTTCTTCACACAACTAGAGCTTTCTTTTGGTGGTATTTAATCACCGCTGGGGTTTTTATTTTTTGCTAAATTAACAAAAAAAGACCAAAAATTTTGAAAAAAAAAAACACATTTTTCTTTGTTTCTGTTATAAAAGTTTACAAATAAATAATTGTTCTTCATAAATTTAGGCCGAGATGTATTCTGCTACATGTCTTTGGTGAAAATAACCCAAATTAGGATGTATTATTTAGTTTGTAGGAAAGTTATAGAGTTCACAAACTATGGTATAGATCTGAATATTGATCAATCCTGAAGTACTGACAGCCAATCTAATTTCTTGAGGTCCAAGAATGTTAGAATAGTACAGATATCCCACAAATGACCCCTTTTTTGCAGAGTAGACAGTCCGACGTACTTCATAAGAGGCATGGCGAGTTTTTTGAAGTTGTATTTTTATGTCATAATTTTTCGGAAAATGAAAAAATTAAAAAAATTATTTTCACTATTTTTTTTTTTACATACTGTCACCAGTGCAGTACAGCGTCATCATATAACTGGCATGGCGGTTAGCAGGGACACTGACTGGTGACAGTATGAAAAAAAAAATATATATATATGTATTTTTTAATTTTTTTATTATATTTAATTTTTTTATTACATTTTTTTTTTTATTTTTTTTTTCATATTTTACTATGACCAAAGTAGTACAATGTTACCACACACTGTACTACTCTGGGGAAGTGATCAGTATTTTTTTTTTTTTTTTTTTTTTTTTTTTTACACAATTTGCTTATAGCAAAGAATTACTTTGCTATAAGCAAGCATTTACCTGAATGAAATCGATTCATTCAGCTTTTTTTTTTTTTTTTTTTTTTTTGTGCTTAGCTGTGATTTGGTCACAGCTAATCACATGACATGTGCATGTGATTAGCTGTGACCATTCACAGCTAGGCACTAGTATACAATGGATGGCATCATGAATGAAGCCATCCATTGTATACAACTGTCATGTGACCTGCTGTGATTGGTCACAGCAGGTCACATGGTACCAGCAACGGGAGCCGGTACTCGGATCTGTCATCGGCCGTGTCCGAGGTGCACGGCCCGTGACAGATCCCGCTGCTGCGCCGCTCTGCATTACCGCAAACGGCGCATGTGCGGGAGCACACCAAATGGCGTGCACCCAGAATGAAGAGGCACATCTGAAGCCGCCAAATGGCCATTGGCCGGGCGGCTAATGGTTAAACAATCTGAAAATGTGCTCAAAATTTGAGTGTATGGCCTGACAAGTTGTTTTTCTGGCAAAAAAAAGAACCTTGTACTATTGTGTTTGATATCACAACAGCTAATAATAGTTCCTGTAACAATTTGATAGCTTATAATTGGTTTCTAAATCTCTGTAGCACTGGTGTTGTTACTGTAACAAAACACCATGGTGATGATTTCATGAATTTAGCCACTGTGAAAAAAATAACACATCAAAAATATAACAAAATATGAATTCTTGAAAAAAATGATAGGTCTTCCTACTCTTTCAGACCTTTGCTATTGCCTTTACAAATTCTATATAGTTCAAAATAACAAACATATAATGTTTCTAAAAGGAAATGATGGCTGTGTTGCCTCTTGTAGTTTTACAACATGCACTTAGACTAAGACCTCGTGAAGAGACCACCAAAACCCAACCTAGAGCAAGCTGCTGTATGCATTCTCTTTTACATTTATTTTGATGCAAATGTGCAGTAATAAGACTTGTTTTAGGCTGTACAGTAGGTACCAAAATGTTAGTGATGTTGAAGCGATCATCTGCTTAAAAAATCTGTTTGATGTGAATAGACACATACCTTATTAGACCTTTGATACAAGACATACTGGTGTATTTATATCAAAACCTTTCTTTAAGTTTTGAATAGCATGGTAAAGGGTACCATATTATTTACATCAACATCATGCTTTAACATACTGTAGCAATACCAATACAATAACCTTATGGGCCCACTTTCCTCAACTACGTTGGTATTGCTCACATTCAACATCCTGTCCCGCACACGTGTCATCTACAATAAGTCTCGAAGGGTGTGCAGCCAACATTGGCAAATCCAAATGAAAGAAATAGCCAGCGCTCCTTAAACATTATGGGGGAATTCCGTAAAGATTCTCACCATTTTTCTGGCATTAATCCCTCTTGTTAATGTGTTGCGCCAAATTTATAAAGCATCTGCAACATTTGTGTTTCTGGCAGCGACTTGTGCACCAAATTAAGGTAGTTCTAAAATGTGGCACTTTTACATTGTGGTGCAACATCTGTGCCAAATTCACTATAAAGTACTGTCAAAGTCCTACCTTTTCCCTGAGGTTATGTTACTCCATGTGCTGGCATCCATCTTGGATTCTGCTGTCGTCCGCTGTCCTGTACTGTTTTGTCCTGTTGTTGTTGACCCGGCTTGTCTGACTACTCTTTTGTCTCTTCCACCAGCTACATGCCATTGGCGGCGGCCATTACCGCAGCTGAGGTGTCTCGGGGGCCGCGACCTGGTTCCTGGCTGCGTCAAGTCCATCCCCACCATCAGGGGCCCTGGTGAAGGGCAGCCTGGGACTTAGACTCCGCGCCCTGAGGGACTTCGGTCTGTGCGTCGTGGTTGTCGTCAGCCAGTGCGTTACATTGTTAGGCCTGCCTGTCTGTTCCTCAGCCCCCTGCCCTGACAAGTACCGACAGTTTGTATCTTATGAAAGTGGAGCTAATTCATTTTTTCTAGTACAGAGAGAGACTCTGGTGAAGACAGATTGTGCAAAAGTGTCTCTCTTGTGTTCTAAAAGTAAAAATTCAAACACAGTTCTATACAGGTATCTGAATTTGACATATGCTGCGCCACTTTTAGAGCACACATGAGACACTTTAGCAAAATTTGTCTGCACCAGTTTTTTATGAATTCCAGAGTATGTATAAAAACAGAGGTGTTAGTAAAATATATATATTTGCAATGTATGTGTAAGTCTCACTTGCCCGTTAAAACCCATCTGTGTAGTGTGATCCTTACTTCTAAACTAGCAGAGCTCCCATTCTAAAAATAAATAAAGAGACTAAAGGCAGGTATGTCGTAACTCATTTCACCTTAAAAGTGCAGAAACCCACCAGGGAGAGCCCAGTAGTACTGTCCAAAGGCAGCTGAAGATGTCCAGTGTGTCTCAGAAATCAACAGCTTTTTAAAGCAAGGTTCATATTTCCAACCTACACTGCCTCTTCAAAATCTTTGAGGTAATGTGGTCTCTACTTCTAATCTAGAAGAACTCCCATTTTGGGACATACACATTAATAAATAGAATTAAGGCTGGTATGCCTGAAGGCAAGTAATTTCTCCTTGAAGGTGCAGAGACACACCAGAACCTAGCACAGCCCAAGTGCAGATGAAGCAGTCCAGTATGTCTCAGCAATTATTAACTTTTTAAAGTAAGGTTCATGTTTCCAATATACATACCAAGATAGTCAGCAAACTAAACACTGTGTATAAACATCCTAAGAGTGGGTAGCATGAAAATTTTGGGGTGGTTGTTGGACAGTTACCAAACTAAGTAAATTCAACATCCTTTCCTGCAGTGTTGCCCACAATAGGTATAGAAGGGTGCATGACCAAAGGTGGCAAAGTATATATCCAAATTAAAGAATTAGCTGGCAATCCTTAGATAATATGTATTAAAAAAGATGCATTAGTTTCATATATATGCAAATTCTGTATGTAAGCTACATTACTACTTCAAGGACACTCTGTATAGTGTTGCCCCTAACGCTAATCTAACAGAACTACTACCCTGGGACATACACAGAAATAAATAGATGAAAGGAGGAGGGCATGGAGGTAACTAGTTTCTCCTAAGGGTCCATTCACCAACGGGGGCTTGACTGCGTACTCTGTGCAGGTCCGTGTTTTCCCCAGCATGGGATGCACAGGTGTTGCATGCAGCCCTATGCCAGCAGTCCATAGAGGTTTATTGGGGCACATGGCTACTTGGACAGAGCTGCTTTGTGCCAATATGACATGCAGGTGTGGGGTCCCTGAACGTACACAGGGTGTGCAATGTTCAAAGGCTATAAATGAACTGAACACCCACGTGAAAGGGCCCTAAATGTACACAGAACTGACTAGTGTGTAAAAACTCACCCATTAGCTTCTAATGATTCTCAGGGAACACCACTGACAAAATCTTAACAGCAGAGTTCCCAGGTCTGATCCTCATTGATCACCATTATGAGGATCTTATATTTTCTGCAAATAGTTTTTTTTCACAATAAGGATCACGCAGCAGTGAGTATGAAAACTTTCCCTGCTGCAGCAATTACCGTATTTTTCGCTCCATAAGACGCACTTTTTTTCCCCCAAAAAAAGGGGGGGAAATGTCAGTGCGTCTTATGGAGCGAATATTAGAGCGGCCGGTCCGTATTTCCACCCCCCGGCGTGTCAGAATACCGGGC